CGGCCGTCGTCCGGTCGGCGGTACTTTGGATAGCCGCCATCCGCAACGTATACAGTCTCCTCTGCGTACGCTTTGGGGAAATCTTTTGAGCAGCTGTTGTTCACCATGCACGGTCACCTCGGGTTGACTGTTCCACACGGTCCGTGTATCATGTGGGACTTCACGCAGTCGTGTAAGCGCCTGTCGATCTCCGGGTCCGGCAAGAAGGCGCAAACCACGTCGTCGACGTCCGCGGCTGTGCGGAACCTACAATCCTCCTCCAGGATTATAAGTAGGTATGTGCGCATGGGGTAGACCGCGTTTCTGAAACTCGATAGTATATACATAAGCGGCTACATTACCAAACACACGATTAACATTCAGGTCACCTAGTAGCTCCTGCAGTTTTCTGTTGAACACCCTGGCCGCCAGGTCAGGCCTGTCGTTTGCATTGCTGTGAGCCGCCAGGTTTTCTGTTATCTCCGGCCACCTGGGATTGCACGTAAACGTTATGAACAGGTCGGGTTTTCCTTTGCTACGGACCATGGTGATAGCGTCTTGATAACACATCTTGTTGTATCGGTCGCTGCCCACGAACGTCGACGGTAAAATGACCCTACGGCCGACCGCCATAGGATCGATGATGAGACGTTCGTTCACATGGTCCACCAACCCTTGATACGCTTCGGCAAAGATTTCTGCCTGATGCTCACGTATGTAGTTCAGATTGTTGGTTTCCATCTGAACGTAGTGGTCGCACACAAACATGTGCAACAAGGACCGGCCTTGATGTATTGAGCTGAACAGTTGGTGCCTCGTGTCGTTGTTTCCCTCATATCGAATGCCCAAACGGTAGCACGCGAACTCTCTTATAGTGTTTCGACTGCGGACATTGTTTCGTCGAGGGCCCTCTTGCAACATCCCGTTATGCCAACCGGCCTCGCCGTACGGGAAAAACAGCGGATACAACATGGGATCCGAGTGACACGAACCTTGAGAAATATAATGAATTTTAAGTTAATTGCTAAACCAAAGGTCTGTAGTAGCTGAGAGTTAGTTTATTGAGATACTTTTAGTAGTTATTTATATCTATTTATTTATTTATTATTATGATTGTGTTGTGTGTGTATAGCAAGTACCTACATAATGTTTTGTAGAACCACAAAATATGTTAATAGTGTATGTCTGTAAAAGTGGTGTCAGTCAAATTATGAAATCAGAGCACAAAAGACTGAAGTAATGTAACTTTAGATTTGATTAACGCTGTATTCAATGTGTAATAATGTATAATGGCTTGTTTTACACAAACACAATGAATTTACACTGTTAATTAATTAATAAGTGTTATTATATATGTTGGTTTTGCCCTAATTAATTAATAAATAACTAATTAAATTTCAAAAGAATGTAGAGAATGTATGTGTGGTCGGATATTTACTGTGTACAATTAAAACTGTGAGTTATTTATTTATTGTGTGTAACCGCAAAAGAAAGGTAATTTATAAAATAATCTAAAATATGAACTCGGCAAATTTCTATACCAAGTGTTAATAATTCTAAGTGATGTTAGTTTTAGGCAGGTTGTTTCGGCCCCTATCCCGGGCCGCATCTTCGACGAAATGCATCCTGACTGGTCTGGGTGGCACAGCTGCAGAATCGGCTAGGGCTCTTTCCGCCAGCCACACCTGACGCATGTTCCTGAAACAAATATAGAAATGTATATATTTACAAATAATTGTGAATTGTAATTACAAATGAGATGGTAATTGGTGTATTTGGAGTTAAGGATTTGTAAACTAAAATATAATGTAGATATGTAACCTAATAATATGTAAATATCGTTCAGTGCATTTATCTCTATATTGTTAGAAATAATTGTGTATGTGTAATGATAGTAAAGTAAAATTTAAAACCATTTACCTGTTTATTGGTAGCGGTGAGAGTATAATCTATACTAAATAAATTTATTTTCAATATTTGTGTGCCTAATGTGTAGGTGTAAAAGCGTAGAGAATCATATTCAATAGGTAAAAAGTATAAAATTTATTAATGTATTATTAAATGTATCCCAAGATAGTTTTACTTCAAAGTTACATGAATATCTTAAGTCATAAACATCCGAACCCTATGCCATATTTAATGTTATATCATTGAGTATTGACTTTAAGGTTTAGGAATCGCATGTATTATACCTGAGGTGTCTTAAATAACAAATAAGTATTAACCAATAGAAACGTGATAAAATTAATATTTTAGATCTAAAAGTTCAAATGCAAAATATAGAATATGATGAAATAACAAAAATTCAAATAGTTGATGCATTAATTAAGAATCCATGTATTTTAGCTTTTAAAAAATGGCAAAATATTGAAGTAAGAAATCTTACTGGAAAAAAGATAAGATTTGATTTAACAAATAATTATCGAAATAATAGACATCCATTGTTTGGTGTTGTTTATTTTCAAAAAAACAGATTAGACAATCAAGAAAGTAATGCTTGTTATTTTGATCATTGTGATGTTGTAAATTATTCATTTGAAGTAAATGGAAAAAAATATCCTAATGAATTACAAAATCAAGATTTTAATGATATAAAATGTTGTCAATCATATGAAGATCATATGAGTTATAAAAAAACCTATTATAAATCACATGAAGAAAATCCATTAATGTATTTAGATAAATTACAATTTAGACAAAAGAGACCATTTTTTGTTGTTAACATGACTAGACACCCTAATCAAATTGCAATCTCCAACTGTACAGTAATTTTAAACTTAGATTTCAGTCAAAATTTACCTGATAAAACAATTTGTTATATTTGTTTAATTTCTAGTGCAGTGTATACGTTTGATATTGAAAGAGGAATAGTTGATGAAAGCTATTAAATATATTAAAATTAATTAAAAAATCGTTCCCTACTTTAATTTTTCAAGATATTTTATCTTGAAAAAAAGTTTGTAATATTTATTTTTTTATTAGATCAAGAACACCAATAAATTCTTCATCAAAATTAACAATATTACCTTTCAAATCTAAAATATAAATTTCTATTTTTTGAAACCGATTTTTACTAACTGGTCTATATACCATTTTATGAGGTTTAATCAAAGCACTATTAGAATTATATTGAAATAAAAATAAAACTTCATCATAATGAGATAGTTCATCAATATCATGTGTAATAGATTCTTCAATTATATTACAATGTACTTCTAATATTTTGTTGTTATTATTTAATGATGAATTTTCTCCATGATGTGTATGTATCCCTCCTAAACTTAAATTTAAATCTTTATCAAATGAAAAATAATCTTTTGTTGTTATTTTAATGTAATCACCATTATTTTCAAACTTCATAATCGAATTGAATAAACTATTTAAACGTTCAATTGAATAATTTCCTTTTAATTCTGTTTTACTATTTTCATTAGAAATAATACCATTTATTTCTTTTAAGAAACCTTGAGTGTAAAATGTTGGAGTTTTCATTCCTATTACCGTATAAGCAATATCTGGTGGTGTATACTCAACACCTAATTCTATTTCTTTCCCTTTAGGCCATGTTTTATTATATTTTATGATATAATAAGTGGTTCTATTTCTTTGTTCAATTGTTCAATACTATATCTACCTGTTTTTATATGTATTATATTCTGTTTGCTTGTTATACAACAGTCTGATTCAATATTAATAAAATCGTTGCCTTTCAAAACTATTGAATAGAGAGCTAAAAAATGATCACCATCATCATTGTGAATAGGTTTGTTTAAATCAATACGACCCTTTTTAACTTTATACCATTTATAAAAGTAAATTTATTTTTTACTTAAAAAAAATTAAAATCATGTCTTGTTTTCCCATTCTTTAAAAATGTTTCACCATTATAAATAAGATTCAATTTTGTTTCCGAATTTGTATTATAACATGTTATTTCGTTTTCTGTAAATTCATTTGTATATCTATCTGGTAAATTTAACATATATTTAATACAACTGATAATCTTTTTCCAAACTTTGTATCAATCTTTATAAACTTATTTACTTTGTATGGTTTTCCTTGTTCCAAATAATTAAATTTTATAAATGTATATCCATTGTTTATTTTATTTAAAGCATCTTTAAAGTTTTCCATTTCTATTTCTTATTTATATTGTTTTTAATTTTTTTATTTTATTTGGTGGAAACGGGAAAGGTATACTTTTGGTGGAAACGGGCAGTTTCAATCGCAACATTGTGTATAGGCTGTATAGAAATATTCCAAGTACGAATTCAAACATATTTCAACAAAGGTGGGTGGGTATATCGTATATGACGTAATGGATTGTGTTAAATTTGAATACAATGATATAATATCAAGAAAAACAATTCTGAGCGAAAAATAAATTAAAATTATAAATTTGATAAATTTTGACAACAATTGAACTTTAAATGCTTATAACACAAAATTGTGCAAATGTATTGCAACTCTATGAAACATAATCATGTGCTGGTAGGTATATCGTTTTGATTTCCGTCGATAATAACAAGTCTGGCTGTTACTATAACAATCAAACGGCTCACGGGTCACCGTTTGTGTACAATATCATTAATCATTATGATTATTTATAGATACTATAATTAATAATACTATATATATACTATTTACTATACATTATATAATATATTATATATAAATATATATATATATATAATATAATATATATTATGATATAAACTATAATGTATACTATTTATATTCATGATAATATTATATTATTGTATGCGGACCCGGCGCAACATTTAACAGACTGCACCGCACGCCAACCCAACCAATTTTCCTATTGTTTGTTGGTTACTAGTTTCGTAGAAAATCGACCGCTCGGGTCCAACATCATTGTTAATGTTTCACAATGCATTTTTGTACAATAAAGGTGGAAACAGACTATTGTCACGTCACGTGAGCTCAGGTGCTATCACATTATCACATTTAAACCGTGATGTCACGTTTGGAAATACACTACTTTCACATTTTCTATTGTCATGCTTTATCACATCACAGTATTTAGTCGGTTGTCCACCATTATACCCAAGGGTTGCGTGTTTTTAATTAAAATGGATTGTGGAAGTTCAAGTAGTTCATCGGGTTGGGAAGAGGAGTTGGAAGCTGCTTTTGTAGTTCTTGATGAAGAAGAAAATAAAACAAAAACAAGAGAATGGGTCCATGCAATTAATAAAAAAAGAGAAACTTTGGGTGAGTTTCATAGACTTGTTCCGGAATTAAAAAAAGATACGAAACGATATCATATGTATTTCCGGATGACGATGGAAGAGTTTGATTTTTTACATGAACTCATTAAACCAGACATATATAAACAAAATACTCAATTTAGAAGAGCCGTCAGCACAGAAGAAAGATTAGCTGTTTGCTTAAGGTACGTAATAATAATTATAAAATATAACCATAATATTGGTATTAAAATTATAAATATTTTATTTAACCACTACTAGAATAGAATACAATTTTTTAATTTTTTAAGATACAATTTTTTTTATGTGAAATATTAACTTTTGCTTAATTATAACAAAAAAAGATAAATACTTAATTCATTGGTAGGTAGGTTGGAGGAAGATTTACCATTTCAAGTACGGTCATTCTGTTGTTCATTTCGGGATTCGGTGAATGTTCGCCACTGGAATATTCTTGACTTAGAGCTGGCGATGGAGATGAGGCAAATGATTGAGGTTGTATAGAACATGGCGATGGAGATTAGGCAAATGATTGAGGTTGTATAGAACAGGGATAGGGAGTCGACGAAAATAATTGTTGGTTGCATCTTATTTCTGCAGATAGTACAGAATTACTTAACTCAAGTTTAATTTGGGATTGCTCCACTTTTGGCAACTGCTTCGTCATTCTTGACATGCTTAAAAAAAACAAGTCAGTATCATCAAGTGTATCTAAAACACTATCTGACTTAATTGCAGCCTGATGTGCTTTTTTTTCTTCGTGTTGGCGTTTCCTTAAAGCCGAACTTTCCTTTATAAGTTCCACCAATTGTCCTGCTGGAGTTGTATGTTGTTTTTGTTTTTTAAAACGTTTTAACGTTTCTACTGGTTCGTTGCGTTTCTCAAGAATATCAGATTCCTTAAAAGCTGAATGGAAATCTGAAGTTTGGTCGGCTTGAGAATCTTGTTCGTTTTCTCTATTCAGTGGACTAAAAGATGCGAGATCTTCTGCTTCAGACTCTTCTGATAGATTTTCAGGTTCAGCAAATAAGTTAGACTCGTTCAAATTTCCTTGCGTCCTTCAAAAGAAAAATATAGATTATAATATAATATAATATATAAAAACAAAAAAAATTTGTAATGTTGATGCCAATCCCAATATCAATACAGTAAACCCTCCCTTAACGAACACCTCTATATAACGGACAAAATTACGGTGGTCGTGAGTGTCCGGTATTTAGAGGTCTCACTATACTTACTTTCTACTTTCTAAAAAAGGTATGATGAATGACATTTGCTGTTCAAATTTCCAAGATGATTTCTTTTTGTAAGCTGAACCACTTTTTGATTCATCACGACGTCTGTTTCTTGCATTACAAAAAGATCTCCTTAAGTTTTCCCAGCGTTGTTTTGCTAGATTTCCTGAATAGAAAATATAATATAATTAATAATTATATTATATTATTATATTATTTATTTAACTATTTTAATTTATTTTCAATATTTTTATATTTAGAATCTAAAGTTAAAAAAGGTGGGTGAGTGGATGTCGCTCTGCTGTACAGTAGGTTACAAGTGGGTCACTGTATAATATAATAGTACAAATTACAAGTTTCAAGTGCCCACGAATAAAAACAATACATAAAATCACAAAAAAATACCTAAAATAGTTATTCTAGGTATTTTTTAGTTTTTTTGGTAACAGAATTAACTACTTATATGGAATCTTGTTTTAAATTTTCAATCCTTAGCTATAAAAACTGAACATTTTATAATTTATTAATTACAATGATTGATAATTTTCGAGATTTAGATAAATTCTGTCAAAATTCGATCTTTAAATGCTTATAAAAAAAAATTGTGTTTTTGACCAACGAATAAAATTTTATTGATATTTCTAGAAAAAAACTAAAAAAAAATGAAAAATGAAAATGTCCCTAAACAGTTCAAAATAAATCAAATTATTTTGAAAATGTTATCGTGTACACAGACACAAAAATAAAAAAAAAATATAAAAACACACATCATTGTAAAATCAATACATTCATCGTTCCACTCAGAATCTAAAATTATTTATATTAATCCTCTTTTTTCAGATTTTTAGCAACAGGAAATAGTTTTAGAAGTATTGGATTCAACTACAGATTGGGATTCAGTACGGTTCGAGAAATTGTAAAAGAAGTCTGTGATGCAATATGGAATAGATTGGGACCAATCGTAATGCCACCACCCACAGAAGAAATGTGGAAAAATGTTGCAGCTAAATACAAAAAAATGTGGCATTTCCCAAATTGCATCGGTGCTATTGATGGCAAGCATATTAATATCCAATGCCCCATTAATGCCGGATCTACTTATTATAACTATAAAGGTAGTCATTCAGTTGTACTTTTAGCACTTGTTGATGCAGACTATAAGTTTATTGCAATGGATGTCGGCTCATATGGACGGAATAGTGATGGTGGAATTTTTTCTCAGTCAGTAATTGGTCAAAAGTTGAATAATAAGACACTCAATGTTCCAGAGCCAGCCCCTTTAACAGAGATCCTCAGCCTTATGTCATTGTTGGAGACGAAGCATTTCCATTAAAGAGTTATTTGCTTCGCCCATACAGTAGAAACTATTTAGGGCAGTGGTTCTTAACCTTTTTTAGTTCAGCGCCCCCTTTATCGTAATAACTTACTGCTAAAGCCCCCCCTCAAAATCAAAATGTCTTCTAATAAAGATATATATATATATATATATATATTTATTTATTCATCAGTATAACATTATTAACTAAAGTAAAAACTCTTATTTTTAGATAATAAAGGTTATATTTTTCACCACTTAACAAAAACATTTTACTTTACTATACAAAAAGAATTACTTAACTATGAAAAAAAAAATTATAAAATATAAAAATTATACCGCCCCCTCAACGCCACCTTCAAAACTATCGCCCCCCATAGAGACCAAAATGCCCCCAAGGGGGCGGTAGCGCCCCCGTTAAGAACCACTGATTTAGGGGATAATGAGCCCAATAAAATATTCAACTACCGATTGTCACGAGCAAGACGCGTTGTCGAGAACGCTTTTGGAATATTGGCCGCTCGTTGGAGGTGTTTCCTTGGGCACTTAGAAGTACAACCAGAATTTGTAGATAAAATTGTGCTTGCATCGTGCTGTCTGCATAACATGTTATGCGCAGACAATGCGTTTGAACCCGATAATGAATCATTACAACTTCCAGAAGCAGCTTTATTGAATTTAGATCCTCTAAGAAGAAATAGCACTCGTGAAGCGTTTCAAGTATGAGAAAAATTTAGAGATTATTTTAATTCAGATGCTGGTAGTGTTGTTTGGCAGGTGGAACGTGTTCGAAAAGGAAGAATTCATTCTTAATTCATAAATATTAAGCTATACGTGTTTTAACATAACTTATTATTATATAGCCATCAGTTAATTTTTTTATTATAAAACAAGACGTAATAAAAGTTAAAATTAAATTCTCATATTCAAGTCGATCGTACGACACAGCCAGCCAGGTAGGCAATCCGACTACGTCGGATCGCAGACCATGCACCGGGCGGGTATGTCCGGTTCTGGTGTGTGTGTGTTGAAATCGGAAATTCGGGTTCTGGGTTTGAGTGTCTAGCTATCAGTCATCTCGGGTAAAAGTCGATTCCCGAGTGTCGGATGCAGTGGGGGACACTGGGGGTGTAAGTCGCTCGTATGCAAGTAGCTAGTCAGGTAGGCAATCCGACTACGTCGGATCGCAGACCATGCACCGGGCGTGTGTGTCCGGTTCTCGTATGTGTGTTGAAATCGGAAATTCGGATTCTGAGTTTGAGTGTCTAGCTATCAGTGATCTCGGGTAAAGTCGATTCCCGAACGGACAACCCACCTGCGGCTGATCGGATGTAGTGGGAGTGTAAGTCGCTCGTATGCAAGTAGCTAGTCAGGTAGGCAATCCGACTACGTCGGATCGCAGACCATGCACCGGGTGTGTATGTCCGGTTCTCGTATGTGTGTTGAAATCGGAAATACGGATTCTGGGTTTGAGTGTCTAGCTATCAGTCATCTCGGGTGAAAGTCGATTCCCGAGTTTCAGATGCAGTGGGGGTGTAAGTCGCTCGTATGCAAGTAGCTAGTCAGGTAGGCAATCCGACTACGTCGGATCGCAGACCATGCACCGGGCGTGTATGTCCGGTTCTGGAGTGTGTGTGTTGAAATCGGAAATACGGATTCTGGGTTTGAGTGTCTAGCTATCAGTCATCTCGGGTGAAAGTCGATTCCCGAGTTTCAGATGCAGTGGGGGTGTAAGTCGCTCGTATGCAAGTAGCTAGTCACGTAGGCAATCCGACTACGTCGGACCGCAGACCATGCACCGGGCGTGTATGTCCGGTTCTGGAGTGTGTGTGTTGAAATTGGAAATTCGGATTCTGAGTTTGAGTGTCTAGCTATCAGTCATCTCGGGTGAAATTCGATTCCCGAGTGTCGGATGCAGTGGGGGACACTGGGGGTGTAAGTCGCTCGTATGCAAGTAGCTAGTCAGGTAGGCAATCCGACTACGTCGGATCGCAGACCATGCACCGGGCGTGTATGTCCGGTTCTGGAGTGTGTGTGTTGAAATCGGAAATACGGATTCTGGGTTTGCGTGTCTAGCTATCAGTCATCTCGGGTGAAATTCGATTCCCGAGTGTCGGATGCAGTGGGGGACACTGGGGGTGTAAGTCGCTCGTATGCAAGTAGCTAGTCAGGTAGGCAATCCGACTACGTCGGATCGCAGACCATGCACCGGGCGTGTATGTCCGGTTCTGGAGTGTGTGTGTTGAAATTGGAAATTCGGATTCTGAGTTTGAGTGTCTAGCTATCAGTCATCTCGGGTGAAATTCGATTCCCGAACGGACAATCCGCCTACAGCGAAAAGTGCTCGAAACGGCCGTTCAAATATGAAAAAGCATACAGGAGGTAATAAAATTGTATTTGTTGATAATTATAGAGAACAGTTATCAGGTGTTTTATGTTAGGCTTCACTGTAATCAATGTAATCATTGATATGTTTTCGCGGACAAATAAGTCGACAAAATCTAATTTTATGATTACTTTTATGACTTTTATTATTTGTACGAATACTATCCTATTAAATGTAGGTATGTATAAATGAATACACTATACAATTTTTTGGCATTTATCTTCGTAAGTACCTACTATCATAATAATATTGTACGACTGTATATAATATATTATGTACCTACCTACCAATTTATTTAATGTCATATGATATTTATGATGTTTTAAATTATTTAGTAATTATAATTGCATAATTATAATGGTGCATCACTGTGTTATGACTTATGTATTATGTGTATGAAAGTGTGTATGAAAAAATCGAACTTTTTGTCGCATATTTTCAAATTTTAGAAAAAAACCGCAAAAAAAGACGCGACGCATGTATTTATTGCTGTATATAGCGATACTTACACAATAGGTACCTACTCCCTTTCCCGGGACTCGTCTGTGCAAAAGTAGGGCCGCGCACCGGCTATAAATTTTGCGGGGAACGCGAATAAGATTCAAACGGGGAGGGTAATACGACCAAAAGGAGCTAAAACTCGAATTTTTGAAAAAAATCTTAACAAAAAAATGATAAGACGGAAGTGATAACGAAACGACGAAAAAAAAAACGCGAAAAAAAAAAATCAATTTTTTCACGGCCGCCGCAAATTATCGATATATCCAGCGGCTGGGATTGAACCCACGACCCTCGAGTCACCTGTCCTAACGCCTAACCTATCTAACCACCTACTGAGATGAAAATCCGAGTCAAATCTATGACTCTTAAGCCGCGTCGCCGTCCCCGCGAATGGCGAACGCGGATTGCGCGTCCGACAAAGGGGCGTTTGAGCGGAGGACCGGGTCCGCCAGCTTCAAAACATGAGATTTGCGAAAAAAATCGAACCTCGAGGCGCATGTATATATGTATGTATATAGCGATACCTACACGGTACCTACTCTCGTTTCCGACACACTACTCCACCCCGGGACTCGAATTTTCGAAAAAAAACGGCAAATGGAGCAGTCATATAGTCGTACTATTTTTTAATATAGTATTTATAATCTGTAGCAGTATTTACCAAATCGGAATCACGTAAAAACTGTAATATATCAAGCATGTACTACACGTAGGTTAGTTATATTATAATCTATTATATAAAAATAAGTCCGGTTTTCCTCCCTGACGCTATAACTCGAGAACGCACCAACCGATTTCCACGGTTTTGCATTCGTTGGAAAGGTCTTGGGCTCCGTGAGGTTTATAGCAAAGAAAATTCTGGAAAATTCAGGAAAAATTCAACAGAAAAGTGGGAAAATCGTTTTTCACATACAGCGCCATCTATTATACATAGCATGTACTTCAAACCAATAGCAACGGTGCGTGATAAAGTGTTTGACGGATAGTTGTTTATTATATAGTTGACGGATAGTTGTTTACATTATTATCTGCTCAGTTAATTTCATTTAAGCTAAAATAAATTATGTAAATTATGTGGATCGTGCATTTGAAGTTAAATTCAACACTCTGTCCATAGTCCAAAATGCCTAGAGAACGACGTGCGAACATCGGCCGCCGCACAAGACATGCAAGCCAGCAACAAGTATATTCAAGGAACTTAAGAGAAGAAAGACAAAATATAATAAGAGAAAATGACCGATTGAGACATCGCGTGAGCACACGAAGATCATTGGCATCATACAATCGCTTGGCATTCCAATATGATCCCACTGCGAACTACAGTGATGATGAAAATTTTGATATTGGACGAATGACGACTATATGCCGATATTGCAATGCGTTAAAGTTCAAAAGAGAAACGGTTGGATTGTGCTGCGCAAGTGGAAAAGTCAAACTGGATCCATTACTTACACCACCACATCCACTGAAAACATTGTTTGATGGAAGTGATCCCGATTCCAGCCATTTTCTTCAACACATCCTTGAATACAATAACTGCTTTCGCATGACTTCCTTTGGAGCTAATATCATTCGAGAAGGCGGCTTCATGCCGACTTGCAAGGTAAAAGATACAACACACATAACCAACACATAATTGCAACACATAACAACTTCATATACACCACACACTACACAATCAAACGATTTAAAAGGTATTCATGAACAAATTTTAATGATTATTTGCAATTACAGATACAAGGTCAAATATATCATTTGCATGGTTCAATGGTGCCAACCACACCAGATGAACCGCATCAATTTCTGCAAATATATTTCATTTCGTCGATGGTGGATCAGCTGAACGTGCGGTGCAAGCGGTGGACAATAATACTGGTGGTCTATTCTTCCTGGATGCACCTGGAGGAACAGGGAAAACATTTGTCATTTCATTGATTTTGGCCACTATTCGATCAAGATGTGACATAGCTTTGGCGTTAGCATCATCTGGAATTGCGGCGACTCTTCTAGATGGCGGTCGTACTGCACATTCTGCGCTTAAGTTGCCACTCAATTTAAACACAATTGATACTCCAACGTGCAATATTTCCCGATCCAGTGCAATGGGAAAATTGTTAATGCAATGCAAGCTCATTGTTTGGGATGAGTGCACAATGGCACATAAGAAATCACTTGAAGCACTTAACTTCACACTGAAGGATCTTCGGAGAAATAACAACATCTTTGGCGGCTTGATGATATTGTTGGCAGGCGATTTCAGGCAGACGTTGCCAGTAGTTCCCCGTGGAATGCCTGCAGATGAATTGAATGCTTGCCTAAAGGCATCACCTTTATGGAATAACGTAAAAACATTATCGCTAACCACTAATATGAGAGTTAAACTTCAAAATGATCAAAGTGCTGCACAATTTTCCAAACAATTGTTAGATCTTGGAAATGGAAAAGTCCCAGTTGATGCGACATCTGGATTAATTACTCTTACCAACGACTTTTGCCGATTTGTAGACACTCAATTAGTTCTTATTGAAAATGTTTTCCCAAACATTAGTGAGAATTATAAGAATTATGCTTGGTTAAGTCAACGAGCAATTCTTGCAGCAAAGAATAATGATGTCCACGCACTGAATTTCACCATTCAATCAAAAATTGCTGGCGATTTGGTGACATACAAATCCGTTGATTCAATAACAAATCCCGATGATGTAGTAAATTTAATTGAGGCAACCATTATTAACGGAAAGTACGCAGGTGAAAATGTATGTATTCCTCGAATACCAATGATTCCGACTGATCTTCCGTTTGACTTCAAACGATTGCAATTCCCAGTTCGCCTTGCGTTCGCAATGACAATTAATAAGTCGCAAGGCCAATCGCTTAGTGTTTGCGGGATAAATTTGGAAAATCATTGTTTTTCACATGGACAGTT